GGAATGGGAGGACTGGAAGTCTCAGATTTCTCTTTCCCCTCACCTTTGCAGATATCTGCACCTCAGGAGAGACTGTATTCCACGTGGATTGGGTGAGTACCTCTTCTGGGAGTAAGAACGGAACAGGAAGTGATGGCACCGATAACCCCTCAGCACCCCATCCCTCTAAAGAAAAGCCTCATTTGGTTTGGCCCCAGGGGACTGGTAGGCTCCACACACACCCACTTCTCTCTCACATGGTTCCTCTGGGTTTCCTCCCTCCAGGGGCTCCATCCTTGCCTCCCTGGACACCTTTAAGAAGATGTGGGTCTCCAAGAAGGAATATGAGGAAGACGGTGCCCGATCCATCCACAGAAAAACCTTCTAATGTTGGGACATCATCTTCACCTCTCTCTGAAGTTAACTCCACTTTAAAACTCGCTTTCTTGAGTCGGAGTGTTTGCGAGGAACTGCCTGTGTGTGTGAGTGCGTGTGTGGATATGAGTGTGTGCGCACATGCGAGTGCCGTGTGGCCCAGGGACCCTAGGCCCAGAAAGGACGATGAACTACCCGCGATGGTGACAGCCCGAGGCCTGGGGTTGACCGCTAACTGGCTCCTGACAGGGAAGAGCGCTGGCAAAGGCTGTGCTCCCTCCTCAGGTGGCCTCTGGCTGGCTGTGGGGGACTCCGTTTACTACCACAGGGAGACAGAGGGAGGTAACCCATCCCCTGGGAGACCTTGCTGCTGCCCATCCTTGGCTGGGCTGGCCCCACCCTCACACCCACCCCCAGGGTGCCCTGAGGCCCCAGGCAGCTGCTGCCTCCCCTTGCTGGTCACTCCACTATCGATGCCTCCTGACTGCACACTGAGGACTGGGGCTGGGGTTGAGTTCTGTCTGGTTTTGTTGCCATTTTGGTTTGGGAGGCTAGAAAAGCACCCCAAGAGCTATTACGGAGACTGGATCTAGGAGAGAGCAGGAGACCCTTGTGTTCACCAGGGAACAGGACCACACCGGCCACTGGAGGAGGGCAGGAGCAGTCCTCCCTCTGAATGGCTGCAGAGTTTATGTTCCCAGCCCAGTCCCCTTTTGGGGACCTTGGGAGAGTTTAAGGCACCTGCTGGTTCCAGGTCCTCGCTTTCCATCCGTTCTTGTTGCAATGCCATCTTCAAACAGTTTTATTTATTGAAGTGTTTGTTCAGTTAGGGGCTGGAGAGAAGGAGCTCGCTGCCTCCTGCCTTGCTACACTAATGTTTACAGCACCTAAGCTTAGCCTCCAGGGTCCCACCTCTCCCAGCTGATGGTGAGCTAACAGTGTCCACAGGTTGCAGGACCATTTGAGATTGGAAGCTACATTCAAAGACACTCCCACCAGGCTCTTTCTCCCTTTTCCTCTTGCTCACTGCCCTGGAATCAACAGGCTGGTTACTGGTTAGATTTTCTGAAACAGGAGGTAAAATTTTTCTTTGGCAGAGGCCCCTAAGCAAGGGAGGGGTGTTGGAGAGCCAGTGCCCTTAAGACTGGAGAAAGCTGCAATTTACCAAGTTGCCTTTTGCCACTGTAGCTGACCAGGGGACTAGGTTGTAGAGGTGGGAAGGCCCCCTCTGGGCTGATCTTGTGCCATTCTTGACCGTGGACCTGCTTGGTTGAGGGAGAGGGCCAGACCAGAGTGCCAGGAGCTAATGGAGCCAGGCCTGACCCCTACAAGTGGTCCAAAGGCCTTCAGCCTAGATGGTGCAAAGTTGGTGCCAGCCTGTCTTCACCGGCACCCTCACCTGTGACACCAAGACCCATCCCAATCCCAGACTTCACACAGTATTCTCCCCCACACCATCCTATGACCAAAGGCCCCTGCCAGGTGTGGGCCGCAGCAGCAGGTATGTGTGAAAGCAATGTAGCGCCCCGCGGACTGCAGTGCGCTTAACCAACTCACCTCCCTTCTCTTAGCCCAAGCCTGTCCCTCGCACAGCCTCGCACAAACTACATTGCCTGGTGGGGCCCAGTGTACTGAAATAAAGTCGTTCCGATAGACACATCAGCTGGGCCTGTATCTGTCTGTCACCAGGGCCAAGTGGGAAGACGAAGAGTAGCAGGCCCTGAATCTGAGGTGGTGACTGGGCCTGATCCATCCTCTAGAGGGCATCGTTGCACCAGCCAGCCTTGTCCAGGACATAGCCCAAGTCCCAGCCTGTCAGTTGGATGCGGAGCAAAGGGTGATCACACCACAGCCTAAGTTCAAAAACAGAAGGTCCCACTCGTGTGTACACTCTAGCCCATGGGTGAGACTCAACTCCAGATGACAGGAGTGGCTCTCAACATCCCTGAAATCAAAGATTCTCAAAACTGTCACATGAATAAGAAGGCCAGGGACTTGGCCCGGCATGGTGGCTCACACCACGCCATAATCCCAGCACTTTGGGAGGCCAAGGCAGGTGGATCACGAGGTCAGGAGTTCAAGACCAGCCTGGCTAAGATGATGAAACCCCGTCTTTACTAAAAACTACAAAAATTAGCTGGGCACAGTGGCAGGCGCCTGTAACCCCAGCTACTCAGGAGGCTGAGGCAGGAGAATCACTTGAACCCGGGCGGTGGAGGTTGCAGTGAGCCAAGATTGCACCACTGCGCTCCAGCCTGGGTGACAGAGTAAGACTCTGTCTAAAAAAAAAAAGGCCGGGAGCTTATTACAATGCAGTTTCCAAGACCCATGCTCAGATATCCTGATTAATCACTTCTCCATTTAAAACCTGCACTTGGGAGGAAAATTGCCAGGTCTTTGACAAATGATAACCTATTTAATCTTCCCAATAACCTTACAAAGTATATGTGCTTTTATTGTCCATTTTACAGATAAGGATTTGAAGCCACGGAAAGATTAAGCAATTTCCCAAAGCTCTGCCTTTTTTTTTTTTTCTTCTTCTTGAGATGAAGTCTTACTTTGTCACCCAGTCTAGAGTGCTATGGCACGATCTCAATCTCCACTCACTGCAACCTCCGCCTCCTGGGTTCAAGCAGTTCTCCTGCCTCAGCATCCCAAGTAGCTGGGATTACAGGTGCCTGCCACTGTGTCCAGCTAATTTTCGTATTTTTAATAGAGATGGGATTTCACCATGTTGGCCAGGCTGGTCTCAAACTTCTGACCTCAGGTGATCTGCCTGCCTCGGCCTCCCAAAGTGCTGAGATTACAGGTGTGAGCCACCATGCCCGGCGCTGGCCTATCTTAATCTAGAATGTAAACCCAGGCCATAGAACCTACAGCCTACATTTTTAATTACCTTGCAGCCTGTAAATAACCATAGGCCTAGAGCAGTGGTTCCCAATTGGAACCAACTTTGCCTCCTAGGACACATCTGGCAATGCCTGGAGATATATTTGTTTGTCACAACTGGTGTGTGTGGGGGGTGGGGTGGGAGGTGCTAAACGTCTACAACAGAGAACTATCTGGCCCCAAATATCTCTAGTGCCAAGGTTGAGAAATGGTGGCTGAGAGCCATGGTTTTCAGCGCCAGCTGCATGATAAAATCACCTACAGAGATGTTCAAAATCCTACTGTCCAGGCCATACCCTAGACCCATTAAGTCAGAATCCTAAGGAATAGAATTCAGATGTATTTTTTAAGTTCCCCAGGTGACCCCAAGGCTGAGAACCTCGGGCCTAAAAGAAGCTCCTCTCTCTTTGACTACCACGTCCAACAGTGATACATGGGAAATGCATTGAGGCCTGATGGTCATTTTGGGCCCCAGTGCCTATGCAGTTACCAATCTATGTTTTTCTCCCTGGCACCTTGGTAACCTACCTTTTTTTTTTTTTTTTTTTTTTTCTTTTTGAGATGCAGTCTTGCTCTGTCGCCCAGGTTGGAGTGCATGCAGTGGCACAATCAATGCAACCTCCTCCCGGGTTCAAGCGATTCTCCTGCCCCAGCCTCCTGAGTAGCTGGGATTACAGGTGCGCACCACCACACCCGGCTAATTTTTGTATTTTTAGTAGAGATGAGGTTTCGCCATGTTGGCTCAGGCTGGTCTCAAACTCCTGACCTTAGGTGATCCACCCACCTCGGCCTCCCAAAGTGCTGAGATCACAGGCATGAGCCACTGCGCCTGGCCTGCCTATCACTCTTATTCAGAAAAATGCTCTTGGGGGCTTTTTCTAGTCAGTAAGGAATCCTGGTTCTCAACCTCAGCAACCCACCATTCACTCACACAGCATAGACTTGAGGAAAAAGAATGGCCGACTTTAATCAGTCTGTAAGGAAATAAACATCTTTAGAGGCCGTGTGGGGGTAGGGGAGCCCTGCCGCAGAGGAGGCATGCCACTTCAAGCACAGCTGAAGCAGAGAACCCTCTGAGAGAAACTACTAGAAGGGTGGACTGAGGGGGAGGTGGGACTTGGAGTCAGCTTTCCCTGACTGGGAAAAAGAGAGGAGTTGCAGTATCAAAAGTGGTTCCTGAGTCCACCACAGCGGCCAGCTCCGGCCAGGCAGCGGGACAGGCTCCCACGCCCCATGGCAGGCCCGTGTGCATCACAGGGCAGCCCCCTCCCTTCTTGGTCCTCTTCTGTCCTCCTGCTCCACAAGAGAAGCACATCCCTGAGCACATATGGCCCAGCCCTTGCCCAAGCTGAGCCAGACAGCTAAGCAGAGACTTTGACTGCAGTGAGAGCTCCCTGCTGCCATGTCTTCCAGGCTGCACTGGAGGAAGGTGGTGGAGCAGAATGCTGGTAAAACCGGCTCCTGGCCAGGTGCGATGGCTCACGCCTATATTCCCAGCACTTTGGGAGACCAAAGCAGGCAGATCACTTGAGGTCAGGAGTTCGAGACCAGCCTGGCCAACGTGGTGAAACCTCGTCTCTACTAAATAATACAAAAATTAGGTCGGCCACAGTGGTTCACGCGTGTAATCCCAGCACTTCGGGAGGCCGAGACAGGCTGATCACCTGAGGTCAGGGGTTCGAGACTAGCCTGGCCAACGTGATGAAACCCTGTCTCTACTAAAATTACAAAAAGTAGCCAGGCGTGGTGGCACGCTCCTGTAATCCCAGCTACTCGGGAGGCTGAGGCAGGAGAATCGCTTGAACCTGGGTGGTGGAGGTTTCAGTGAGCCCAGATTGCAACACTACACTCCAGCCTGGGCAACAGATCAATTTTTTGAGGGAACATCTCCAAAAACAAAAACAAAAACAAAACAGCTATGAAATCCTTAAAACAAAAAACAAAAAACTGGCTCCTCCCCCAGGCTGCTGGCAGCGTCCTCAGTGGGGTGGCCTTGCCACAGCTCTCACACCATCTTAACATCCAGGGTTTGGGCCTGTGACAGGTTCTGGCGCTGGGCCTTGACCATGTGCAGGCGTCTCCCGTGCAGCGTGAACTGGGACCAGGTGAAGAGCTGCAGCAGAGCACAGGTGATGGGTACCAGCACCAGCAGGTAGAAGCAGCCCTGGCGGAGCATCGGGGCCTGTGCAGGGGCTGGGGCTGGGGGCTCTGGCCAAGGATGGGCACTCCCCACCGGGGTTATCAGGGACTGCTGGAAGAGGTCATGACCTAGGACAAGAGAGCACAGAAAGACTATGGTCAGCCCATTGCCCTCCAAGCCTTGGTGCCCTCCAAGTCCATGGTGTGACATCTCAGACACCACATGGACATACGCAGACTACAACTCCTGAGTCCTTCAAATCCGCTCCTCTCCTACGCTTCCCATCTCAGTGACGGGCACCACCCTCTACCCAATAACTCAGGCCTAAAACCTCAAAGTCCTCCTCAGTTCCCTGGTTCGTTTCACGCCATCACTCCCCCAACACCCAATCCTTCATCTCCCCCCAACTCCAAAACGTATCCCACTTGCCACCACCCTGACCCAAGTCTCCATGGCCTCTGCCACAGTCTCCCAAAGATCTCCCTGCTGTCCCCATTCTGGCCTCCCTATGATCTGCTGTCCATACGGCAGCCAGAGTGAACTTTTTTTTTCTTTTTTTTTTTTTGAGAGATGGAGTCTCGCTCTGTCTCCCAAGCTGGAGTGCAGTGACACGATCTCTGCTCACTGCAACGTCTGCCTCCCAGGTTCAAGCAATCCTCCTGCCTCCCAGGTTCAAGTGATCCTTCTGCCTCAGCTTCCCAAATAGCTGGGACTACAGGCATGCACTACACCCAGCTAATTTTTGTATTTTTTAGTAGAGATGGGGGTTTCACTATACGTTGACCAAGCTGGTCTCAAACTCCTGACCTCAGGTGATCTCCCTCCTGCCTCAGCCTCCCAAAGTGCTGGGATTACAGGTATGAGCCACCTCACCCAGCCCAGAGTGAATTTTGTTAAAAAGTCAAATCACACCACGTCACTTCCCTGTTTAAAACCCTCCCTGGCCAGGAGTGGTGACTCAAGCCTGTAATCTAAGCACTTTGGGAGACCGAGGTGGGTGGATCACCTGAGCTCAGGAGTTTGAGACCAGCCTGGGCAACCTGGCAAAACCCCATCTCTACATAAAATACAAAAAGTTAGCCGGCATGGTGGCATACGCCTGTGGTCCCAACTACTTGGGAGGCTAAGGTAGCAGGCTCACTTGAACCTGGGAGGTCGAGGCTGTAGTGAGCCAAGATTGTGCCACTGCACTCCAGCCTGGGTGACAGGGAGACCCTATCTCAATCAATCAATCAATCAATCAATAACGCTCCCAACAGCTTGCTTCCAATACTGCCCTGGTCAACAAAGCCCTCTTCACTTTTCCAGCCACATCTCCTAATCACCCCTGACACCCTGGGCCTTTGCACCTGCTGTTACCTCTGCTTGCGATTCACTGAGACCTTTTCTAGACAAATCCTTGCCATTCAGCTCACATCCTGAGGGGCACCTTCTCAGAGAGCCCTTCCCTGATGACACTACATAGCTTCTGAGTCACGCCATCTCACATCACCCTAATTTCACTGTAACACTGTCACTGCCTGATAATATCTTATTTGGCTGTTTACTGCCAACCCCACCCCACACCTGACTAGAATACAAGCTCCGTGGTGGCAAAGACCTTGTCTATCTTATTCATGGTTAGCTCCCTGGCACCCAGAGCAGGGCCTGCAGAGAGGGGATTCCGTACATATTTGTTGAATGAATGAATAAATGAATGCACTAAGAAAGCATGGCGGAATCTGTGACCCAACGACTCTAGCCATGTTGGGGGGACGCCAGTTGCCACCTTCCCTCACTGGACCCAGAGCCCAGGCTTGCCAGTGTGCCAGGTAAGCTGTGCCCCCTGGAGCTTTAAGAGCCCTTGCCTGTCGCCATGCCCTCACCTGTGTAGAAACAGAGCAGCCAGGTGCCCAGCAGCGGGGCAAAGGTCTGGCCTGGCTTGGTCACCAGGGCAACCATGCCAAAGAGGAGTGCCGAGGCTGCCTGCTTGCGGTGGTTCAGCACCAGGTCCTCATCTACCAGGTCGGTGACCACCAAGGTCAGCAGCTTACAGGTGCCCTCAGTGAAGACGCGGTTGCTGCGGTAGAGGGAAAGAGTAGGCAGGAATGAAGGCATGGGACGGAGGTGTTGGGGGGAGCATGGGCAGGGGCATACCTGGCAATGAAGAGGCACAGCAGGCTGAGGTGGTCTGGGCCAGCCAACAACATGAGCAGGCTAAGGCCCAGCTTGAGCAGAAAGAGTCCCCGCACCACCGCGTAGACGCCCCAGCGCCGGCACAGGGACAGGAAGTAGAGGTTGTTGAGATGGGGAGCGACATAGGAGAGGCCTGGGGAGGGAGACGGGGCGCCACCTTGTCAAGGGCACTGCTGCAGTGCCAGTGAGTGCCACCAGCTTCACGGCCAACTGCATTCCTGTACACTAGCAATGCACTGGGCTCTGTGCTAAGAGCGTCACTGTCTTAGTTCATCCTTACAGCCCCTTAAGGTGAGTACTATTATCATCCCCACTTTACAGATGAGAAAGAGAGGCCCAAAAAGATGAACTAACCTACCCGAGGCTGCCCACCAGATGAGCACAGAGTCAAGACTCACACCCAGCCCATCAGATGATATTCCTCTGTGTTAACCAGTCACTGCACCCCCTCAGGGTGCCACCATCTCCAAGAGGACCGACACCAGCGCAGCCTCTGCCCCCCCAACCCCCAGTACACCCTGCCCCCCATGCCCACTGTACCCGGCAGCCCTTGGTGTCTTAAAAAGATTGTCCTGGCTGGGTGCAGTGGCTCACACCTGTAATCCCAGTACTCTGGGGGGCCGAGGCAGGTGGATCACAGGGTCGGGAGATGGAGACCATCCTGACTAATACAGTGAAACCCTGTCTCTACTAAAAATAAAGTCTCTCTCCTTCCAGCCTGCATGAAGCACAGAAGGCCCCCACTCACCCAACAGGATGGAGCCCGTGGAAAGGGAGATATGGTCAGACAACAGATGCTCCAGGAAGAGAGGGAAGAAGTTGCTGTTGAAGTGGCAGTGGAAGACCTGCAACCCGACAGCGATGGTGAGGAGGCTTCCAGGTGGGAGGGGAGCTGACAAGGCCGGAAGTCAACAGGGGAGCACACATCTGCCAACCCCCCCACACCCCATCCTCAGAGCAGCAAGAGTAAGAGCAGGCCTTTTTCCCCATGTCCCTAAACACAGAACATGCCAGAACACAACCTAAAACCACATTCCTGGTGGTACCTAACTTTGCTAAAAAGTTAGAAGCCATGGCAAAATAGTATCTGAGCAATTAAAAGCTTTTTCTTTTTAATTGAAAACACATTAGGGAGGCTGGGCACGGGGGCTCACACTTGTAATCCTAGCACCTTAGCACTTTGGGAGGCCAAGGCAGGTAGATCACTTAAGGCCAGGAGTTTGAGACCAGCCTGGCCAACATGGCAAAACCCCATCTCTACAAAAAATACAAAAAATTAGTCGGGTGTTTTATTGCATGCCTGTAATCCCATCTACCCAGGAGGCTGAGGTGGGAGAATCATTTGAACCCAGATCACGCCACTATACTCCAGCCTGGGCCACAAAGTGAGAAGAAAAAAAAAAAGAAAACACATCAGTGAAACAAATTTCATGACATGAAAACAGTTTATTTCTAAGTTCAGCTGGTTTATAAACTACATGTTTTAGGTACAGCATTTGGCTCTCTTTTTTTTTAGAGATGGGGCCTTGCTCTGCCGCCCAGGCTGGAGTGCAGTGGTGCAATTATAACTCACTGCAGCCTCGAACTCCCCCAGGCTGGAGTGCAGTGGTGCAATTATAACTCACTGCAGCCTCGAACTCCGGGCTCAAGCGGTCTTTCCACCTTGGCGTCCCAAAGTGCTGGGATTACAGGCGTGAGCCACTGCACCTGGCAGTGCTTGGTGTCTTAAAAAAATGGTTAAAGGGTCCCCAAAGGGGGCATCTCTGTCTCATATCCTCACTTTACAGGAGAGGACAGGGCTCCCCAGAGAGCCTGAGACCTGCCTAAGATCACACAGGGAGGGAAAAACTCAGAGGGCGCTAGAATCCAGGCCTCCTGACTACTCAACCTGCATTCCTGCCATCAAATTGCCCAGCAGACCTCCTGGGTGGCCCAGAACTCAGTTCCCAGCTCTTTTTTTTTTTTCCTTTGAGAAGGAGTCTCACTCTGTTACCCAGGCTGGAGGGCAGTGGTGCCCTCTCAGCTCACTGCAACCTCCGCCTTCTGGGTTCAAGTGATTCTCCTGCCTCAGCCTCCCAAATAGCTGGAATTACAGATGTGCTGGAATTACACCATGCCCAGCTAATTTTTGTATTTTTATGGGGTTTCGCCATGTTAGCCAGGTTGGTCTCGAACTCCTGTCCTCAAGTGATCCACCTGCCTCAGCCTCCCAAACTGCTGGGACTACAGGCATAAGCCACTGTGCCTGGCCGAGTTCCCAGCTCTTGAAGAGTCTGTCCCCTTGAGTGAAGTCCAGGCCAGCTGTAGAGGTGCCTGGAGCTGCTCCCCCATACCTGCACCAGGTCCATGCTCACAAACCACAGGAAGTTCCGATGGCGTGCCAGCTGCCGGAGATATTGGCCCAAGGTGATGCTGTCTGCCTCCTCACTGCCCACAAGCAGCTCCTCTCCACACAGGCTGTGGGGCAGAAGGGAGTGGAGAACTGCCTGGGGCTGGCCAGAGTTATCCCCCAACACATCCCAGGGCAGCCCCCATAAGCCAAGGACACAGCACCAAAATCAGACTTAGAAGGTTGCTGGTGAGGACCTGAAGAACCAGGGCTGGCCACTCACCCGCAATCCACAGCCAGGCCTGAGCACCCTGGGTCCCTTCGGGCGGCCTCAACCCGCCGCCTCAGCAGCCGTGTGGCCCCCAGAAAGCCCAGCCCAGAGCTGACAGCCAGTGTCACACAGAAAGCGCGGAAGGAGGAGAAATCCTCCTTGTTCCAAAAGGCATAGGAGGCAAAGACAGAGAGGGAGCCGGCTGCGCTGAAGAGGGAGCAGTAGAAGTTGAGGTGGGTGCGATCGTGGGCTGAAAGTGCCAGGTCGGCCAGCAAGGCGTGGTGGTGCAGGTCCACGAGCGTCAGGAAGCCATCATAGAGGCACAGGCACAGCAAGAACTGCAGGCCAGCTGGGGCCCAGGGCACCCAGAATGCCAGGAATGACAGCGCCAGCAGCGGCCCATGCCAGCCCAGGGCCCGCACCCGGGCCAGCACCACAGCCCTTGAGGAGAGCCCAGCGCCTGACCTGCTGGGGAAAGGAGGGTTGTTGGGAGATGCCCTGTAAGCCTTGGCAGGCCGAAGTTCCCCTTGCCCAGGCTCCGGGGGAGGGATGGAGGCCCAGGGTGTGGGACTCACAACAGGGTGGTCCCACTGTCCCCCAAGTCCCCAGTCTGCAATTTAGGAAGCACAACTCAGCAGTGGGTACACCATCCTCTGCCCCAATTTCCACCCCATTATTAGCCTGTTGGGCTGATGGCCAAAGGGTATGGGATGCCCACTTCTCAAGGTTGGGAGTGATGATGGGATCAAGAAGGGATGGGGCAAAGGAATCTTCTAGAAGCAGCAGAGGGTGTTTGCAGTCCACAGTCCAGAGGGGCCAGCCAAGCCAAGCCAGGGTAGATCTCTTTACCTGCCAAGCCAGGCAAGGGTGCGTCCAAGGCCACTACTCCAACCCAAACAGAGCACCCTAGACCCCAGGAAGGGAAGGGGCATGGGCAACACTGAAATAGTCTCCCCTTCCTTCTCCACCCCAAACACAGGCAGTGGTCCTCCCTCCTGGGTAGCAGTAGGGTAGGACTGAACCAATTACAAGCTGTTCCCAATACACCAACCGGTGCTGGGAGCTGAGGAACTGCCGGTCACTGAGCCAGCCGAAGAGGGGGTCATTGAGGCTGTTCCAGAGGAGAAACACCGTCTGCAGGCAGAGGGGAGACAGGCAGGTGGGCTCTAGGCAGCCTCCTCTCCAGGGCTCCTCCCACCCTAGCCTGCTCACCACCCCTCAAAGATGGCCCCAGCTTTCCTACCCGCAAAAATTGCTCGTGTCAGTTCCTCTGCTAAAACCCACTCTGGCCAGGTGCGGTGGCTCACGCCTGTAATCCCAGCACTTCGGGAGGCCGAGGTGGATGGATCATCTGAGGTCAGGAGTTCGAGACCAGCCTGGCCAACATGGCGAAACCTCGTCTCTACTAAAAATACAAAAATTAGCTGGGCATGGTGGCGGGCGCTTGTAATCCCAGCTACTTGGGAGGTTGAGACAGGAGAATCACTTGAACCAGGAAGGCAGAGGTTGCAGTGAGCTGAGATTGCGCCACTGCACTCTAGCCTGTGCGACAAGAGTGATACTCCATCTCAAAAACAAAACAAAACAAAACAAAAAAACCTACTCTGCCAGTCAAACCACTGCCCCCCTCAAACTCGCACCCATCCAGAGCCCAGCTGGTAAATGTACGCAGCTGATAAATTCATGTATGTGAACATATTATATATATGAATACACAGAACAGCAACTATATAAGACAGTGGCCAGGAAAGCTGATCTAGTTCCCATCGAGGAGGAGTCATCAAGGCCTCCACAGCTTTTCTTGCTGAGTCTTGGTGAACAACCTGGACTGCCCATGCCTCTGACTGGGTGGGAGCTGGCGCCTGCAATCTACCCGGCAGCCTGGACAGCCTCTAGTCTCCACCCTACACCCTCCTCCATGTTGGCCACCCAGCGCTGGCCTTACCTCTCCAACCCAGAAGGCCATTTTGTTGATCTTGTACACTGATACAAAGGTGTCTACATAGTAGAGCAGGAAGACATTGTGCAGGATGGTGGTGAACAGAGCCAGGGAGCCATAGACCGCAGCTGTGGGCAGACCCAGCAACCAGGCCTGGGGCCGATCCAGCCCCATGGCTGCAGCCCCAGCCTTAACCCCAGGAGCACCGGGGAGGGCTCATGGCCACAGGCAGTCTTGTCATCCTCGTCCCTGGGAAAGAAGGAACCAGTGAGGAACAGGGATCAATGCCAGCTCTGCTCTTAACCCCAGACCTCTGAATAATTTAAAAACTCATTTTCAACAGGAGAGTTTGTACTGACAACAGTGCTGGGAATTATGAATGAAGTACAACGGAAACAGTGCTGAGCTAGACACCACTAACCTGGGAGTGACTCGAGGAAACAGAGAGACTGTGGGAAGAGACGGCAGACACCCAGCGAGTGCTGAGCCAGGTCACGTGCCAGGGCTGAATGCTCAGTGTCTTCTTAGATCGCACTGTGTGACTTTAATGGTCTAGACGGGACAACCCTGAGCTTGGGCACACAATGCACTTACAGTAAAATGTCAGGCAGTTATCCAACCCAGGCCTTAGCCTCCTCTTCTCTAAAAGGTAAAAGGAGATTGTTATGCCTATTTTGCAAATCATAAGGATTAACTGATGTAACTCACAGAAAGCACTCACTGTTGGTATTGATACGGAAGACAGGAAGGGAAGTGACGGGAAGGGAAGTGCCGGAAACGGAAGGACGTAGTCCCTTTAAATGATACGGAAGTGGGGAAGGGAAGTGCTGGGTAGAGGAGGGCATGGTCCCTAGCTAGGGCTCCACCCCTGGGCCTGACCTAGGTGAGGACAGGCTTTTTTTTTTCCTGCCCAAATGTTGCATTTCCCAAGACCACCCTGGCCCACCACGCCCCCATCCGGTGCTTATAAAAACCCTGACACCCAGCCGGGTGCAGTGGCTCATGCCTGTAATCCCGGCACTTTGGGAGGCCAAGGTGGGCGGATCACCTGAGGTCAGGAGTTCAAGACCAGCCTGGCTAACACACCAGCCTGGCTAACACGGTGAAACCCCGTCTCTACTGAAAATACAAAAAATTAGCCGGGCGTGGGGGCACATGCCTGTAATCCCAGCTACTAGGGAGGCTGAGGCAGGAGAATTGCTTGAACCTGGGAGGCGAGCACTCTAGCCTCAGCACCAAGAGCGAACTCAGTCTCAAAAAGAAATTTAAAAAAAAAAGAAAGAAGCACTCTAAGCCTGCAAGTCCCCACCATTACCCCCGTGGGCCACAGTGATCCTATCTTGTCCCAAGGCAGGAGGATGGCCTTTCCCTGAGGCCCTTGAGCCCCCTGAAGAAAATGTATTTCTTTTTTTCCTCAAAGCTTTATTCAGGTCTAACTGATAAACACTAAACTGCACAGTTTTCAAAGCATGCAGGCTGATAAGTTACACCATATGCATGTACCTGTGAAATCATCACCACAAACAAGATAATGAACACATCCATCACCCTACATTCCCTCGACACTGCTTTTCTGAGTAACATATGGAAAAAAGTCATACGGGGCTAGGCACAGTGGCTCACACTTGTAATCCCAGCACTTTGGGAGGCCAAGGTGGGCAGATCACTTGAGGCCAGGAATTTGAGACCAGCCTGGCCAGCAGGGCAAAACCCCGTCTCTACTAAAAATACAAAAATTAGCCGGTGTGGTGGCAGACACCTGTAGTCCCAGCTACTCGGGAGCTGAGGCAGGAGAATTGTTTGAACCCTGGAGGTAGAGGTTACAGTGAGCCCAGATCGCACTCCAGCCTGGGTGACAGAGCGAAACTCTCCCTCAAAAATAAATAAATAAAAATAAATTTTTTAAAATGGTGAGCACTAAAGCTTTAGAGATTTATCACTATCCAACCTCTCAGCCCTTCTGTAAAATGGAGAGGCCCCACGCCCGCCACACAGGGATGAGGTGGCATTAAATGAGATGCCCTCTGAAGGTGCCTGGGGCTGTAAAGCATGATGTCCACCTCTGTTACCATCCTTAGCTGGGTCACTTACTCCAGTTCCTCCAGGGCTTTCAGAACTCTCCTGCCTTTGTCAAAAGGGAGTGAAGCCTCCCCATCCCTACCCAGATGCCCAGTGATCTGTCCTTGTTGCTGGTGAAGGTGAGCCCTGCACACAAGGTCCCCAGCCTCCCCCAGCCACCTCCCTGCACCCACACTGGGTAGAAGAAGGTTAATGAGATGGAACAGGTATGACTTTTGCCATCAGCAGGGCCTAGGTTCAAATCCCAACTGTACTTCCTACTAAGAGTGTAACCTCAGGCAATTCAACCCTTCTGGGCTGGAGTTTCCTCATCTATAAAATGGGGTAATAATGCCTATCCTTTTCTTTTTCTTTTTTTTTTTTTTGAGATGGAGTCTTGCTTTGTTGCCCACGCCAGAGTGCAGTGGTGCCATCTTGTCTCACTGCACGCTCCACCTCCTGGGTTCACGCCATTCTCCTGCCTCAGCCTCCCGAGTAGCTGGGACTACAGGCGCCCGCCACCACGCCCAGCTAATTTTTTGTATTTTGAGCGACTGCGGTCCTTGAAGGCTCACGTAACAGCAAGGTGGCGTGGCACGCCTGGTCTGCAGGTTACCCAGATTTCTCACCACTTATGCAATGCTGCTTCGTCGGGCTCAAGCTTGTTCCTTCCCTTGGACGAGTGGCGTTGCTGTTCTCCCTGCTGGGTGCGATTGAGGGTGGGAGGGCAAGTGGGGGAAAGGCTGTTCCTGATGGAGGATGAATCCTGAAGATAAAACCCCCAAAAGAAGTAACTGGCAGCGCTGGTGGCCTCCTCGCGCTGCGTAACCAGCACTTTTAGACGCGCCAGGCGCGGGCGGATCACCACAGTCAGGGAGACCGGACACAGCCCGCTAACACGGTGAACCCAAGTCTCTAATCGAAC